TGTGTGTGTGTGTGTGTGTGTGTGTGTGTGTGTGTGTGTGTGTGTGTATGTGTGTTGCCTCCTTTAGTACCACTCCATGAGCAAATACGGTCTGATCTGGATCTGATTTGTGGGGTAGTCTGGATGTTTCTGAAGACAGTCCAGTTCACCTGGATAATGGCAAAAGGTGGTTTGTTTTAAATTAGTAAAACGTCACATCTCTACTGATCCATCACCAATATATGGAGAAACGTATGAGACAGAAAATTACACAAAATTAGATGCAAAGAGATTTTAAAAAACTCATAACGACTGAAGACACACAAAATTACCACAAAAGACGCAAAACAACCACAAAAGATGCAAAACTACCTCATAGAGATGCAAAAGAACTACACATTTGCATCTCATTCAACTTGGGATAAGGCTGGGGGTTAACAAGTACGATACCAGCTGAGTTTCGAGTTGGGTGTATATCGACTAAATTTTAATTTCAGGATGAGCTATGTCTTTAACAATGCCACAGTAATTAGTGGTTTAAAAGATCATACCAGTGGTTTTGCATGTTGTAACACATTAAGTACAAATGCTGTATGCTCCGTTTTACTGGCAACCATTTTCTGAAGCATACCATAAATTCTTAGATCAATTTCCTCGGTTTAAGTTCATTCAGTAGAGCAAGAAAAAAATGTCAGCGTGATGAGACTTACAACTAAGAAATGAAACACAATGAACATTTCACGGCCTTATTTTTCTTTTCATCAACTTGATGTTGTTGTTGTGTGGCAATGCAGCAGCACAGGCTGTTCTGAAAACTTTCAGCATTGCATTCTTAACCTTTGTTGTTGGAAATCAAACTGAGAAGACAACTAATAAGCAGAGACACACATTGTTACAAGGATTACATGAAGTTGATACTTGTGTAACTCTCAGATATCAGATGACAAAGTTTCAATGGCCGCCAAGCAAGGAACAATACTCCAAACATTCCCTGCGTGCAGCTGCATTACCGCACAGCGATACTGTAACATTGTCAAAAAAACTAAAGTTGCTGAAAGATTCATTTTGATGGATTCCCTAAAGTGAAAATGTTGTACTGAATGAACTCAAACCGGCTGCACGGAAGGTTAGGAAACCCGAGTAAGAACACATGCCCTGGATAAAGTTTGGTGGTTTGATATTAGTCCTGTTTGTGTGTGAGCAGGTGTGAATGTGTTCCTGAGGAAGATTGCAGTGAGAGCGGCCTCCAGCCCGGCAGTGGAAATCACCCAGCAGGATGAGAGTCTGTCCATCAAGACATCCACCAGCGTCCGCACCACCCATGTCTCCTTCACCGTGGGCCAGTCCTTCAATGAGACCACGGTGGATGGACGTCCCTGCACGGTACACATCCCGTATAACATTCCTGTATAACGTCAATACATGTGCACCAGATCTTGGCCAAGGACAGACTAACGAGCCAGAGTTATGCACGAGAGAAACCATATGGATACAATTTCAGCCCAACTCCAGAGTCAGTGCTGGTGATAATATGTGGATCTGTTCTTCATCTGTTCATGCTGAGTGAGTGGTGAAGGACATAAAAAAAATTATAAAAAATCTGATATGCAGCGATTGGCACACGGGAGCTCCAGTTGTGACAAAACCCAAACTTTGCTATGACTTTATAGGATCCAAGGCACTAAAACGATGCATATCTTTCCCTGCAGAGTTGTCCTAAGTGGGAAACAGACAGCAAGATCAGCTGTGAACAGACTGTGCAGAAAGGCGACGGGCCCAGAACAGCGTGGACCCGAGAGCTGACCAACGATGGAGTACTGATACTGGTAATTATTTTGTGCACAGCAACCAATACATGACTTTATAGCTGCTTTTTTTCCATTCGTTGCAATACATAACCCCTTTATAATGTGTGTGCCGTATTAGAAAGCGCCACCAAAAGTTAATACTCTGTCCCTTTGTCGCTGTTTTCTTTCAGACAATGACTGCAGGAGATGTTGTCTGCACCAGAGTTTATGAGCGGGAATGAGGAAACATTTTCAATACTGTCATGCAATACCCTTGTTTTGTGCCTCATGCATGGTTTACATTTACTCGCCTTGCTTGAACTTCCTCGTCCTCCTCCCAGCCAGTCAGATGTTGGTCAGATCTCAAACAGTGCAGAAGAAGGCTTCGGTTTACATGAATGTATGTTGGCACAGTAGTTGCTTTTAGAATACCAAAGATGCCTGAACGTGCTCCTTTATGTATCATATAGAAATGTCACACATTCCTTTTCTAAAAGCCGTGTCTACATTTTCTTTGCTTTCATCTTTTTTCAACGTGTTAATAAATTGTTTTGTATGAACTCCCTGTTTGATGATTCCTTCTCAAAACACTCACTCTTTATGTTGCCTCCTCACTGCACCTCCCATTCCCTTGTCGTCCGTCTGCATATCACTTTACATCACTGCCTGCCATTCATATTCTGGTTATTCCCCCCCCCCCCCCCCTCTAATTTTCCACTTGCAATCGACATTGTCCTCTGTGTGCTCTTGTGTCATCGTAGCCCACTACAGTATGTATTCAATTAGTTTAAAAAACTCCCAAAGACAATGCATATTTTATGAACTTCGCTTTGAGGGACATTTGGCAAAGACAAGAGGGAAACAGGGAATGGAAAGGAAAATTAGTTAAGTCCAGAGAGAGGGTCATGAGAAAGTTATTTCATAGCATCAGGAGAGGTGTATGTTCCCGTCTCCAGCTGCACCTACTTATAGAGTGAGCTCGATGAAAAAATCCCCCACCCCCTTTTGCTTTGGCTTTGCACCCAGGTACAAAGTGCTTCTCCTTACACAGTGCATGGATATTTCCAGCTGCTCCCTCTCAAAACCCACTTTTTTAACATAATGGATGCACACAAAGTATGCAAACGGGCTTGAAATGTGTAGCTGAAAATTTAATTCCCTAAAATCGTTCTTTTACTAAACCGAAAATCAACTGCTGTTTCAGTCCGAGGTGGACTTCACTGTGAGCTGTGAAAAATGGTCCTTCGGGTTCTCTCAGGCACTTCCTGAGGAGAGAACTGCTGCGGTTCACAGGCAGTGATGGTTTTTCCAGGTTTTCAAACAGTGTGAAGACAAGCGATCCTCTGAAGTGCTTCCCAGTTTATACACAGTGCTGAGCAAGCAGTGGGAGGACTGGGCCTCCCCCGGGATGAATGCTCTCAATAACCTCTGTGGGTTTATGTGTGTGTGTGTCTAGAGGTATTCAGAACCTTTACTGAAGTGAAAGTATCAATACCACGTGTAAAAAATACTCCATTATCATTAAATGTCAGGCATTCAACATTTTTCTTAAAAGCACTATAATTATCAGATTGTTGACACTGATGCATGATGCGTCATTGTATCAGGTTGGGGTGTAACTGTTTTAACTACTTTACATACATTACGGGTCGGGCCTCCTCCCAGGGGATCACAAGGTAAATGTGAAGTGTCGGGAGATAATTAGTGAGGAAAGAAGGAAAGAAAAGATCTGCATCTCAAAATTGCTTGATGATTTAGGACTTCTCTCAAATCTTTGGGGTTTTTTGGTGAAATATTGCACAATTCAAACGGTTGTTTGAATGAAACCATGTGAGAAGTTTAGATGGGAATTGTAACAGAAAGTCGGAAACCCACGTTATTGTGTAAGCACTCAACAAAACCACAGGGCCTTAACTGCACTCTGGAAGCGATGGAAAGTTCCCTGCTATTTGCTCCAAATGAAAATTGGCATTGCGCGCACACACACCAAACAAACGAGATGGCCGATTCTGTCTAAATGACCCCTTTGACTGATGGTTGAAATGGCCTCATAGGAGCAGTCTAAACCACCCAGTCCCTCCTTGTTAGCCGGGTCACTTTCCACACAGAACTCTTATTAGGCCAGTTCATTCCTCAGGCAGTGATGTCATGGAGCCCTGCATTGCTGGAATGCTGTGGTTTTAGGACAGGGAGGCACCCGAGTCCAGCCTTTGAATCGGAGCCATCTGGACCAATCGCAACGCGGCAATTAGAGGAAACGATGAGTCACAGGAATCAGCTGACAAACACAGACGACAAATGATGGAAGCAGGTTCAGACAGATGACACAAGCACGGATACATAATTACTCAGTTCAGCTAAAAAAACTTTCATCACTGATTTTTGGTGTAAAAATGGGCGCTCATTCTTTGCTGTCCATGCCACATCCATTTCCACCTCAGCAATATGAGCTCTGTTTCTTCCTGGTTCTCCGCAAAAAGATCAGTTCGTCTCAATGGTTGCATTGATCAATGAAGTCCACTTTCAGTGGCAGTAATATTAAACAGAGTCCAAATCAGAAGTTTGGCCTCCAGTTACCAATCTGACCTGTTCTATGGTCATTATAGGGCTGTAAGGATTCTTTTCATCAATCAGTCATATTTTCTCGATTCATCTTTTTTATTGCTTAAATTTAATAAGATAACAGCCATAGAAACATGTAGCTCTGGGTTTTAATATTTCACTTGCTGTAAACATCGTACAGTATAGAGCAAGAGGATTTTTCTGACCATATAGAGCAAATGGGAAATTAAAGAATACTGGATGCTAAGCCTTTATCTCGTCACCCTTTAAGGCAGTCCTGACTCCATGATGATATCCATCACGCCAAAACCTATTTACATATATATATTTATTGTTAGTTCGTGTGCGCCTGCATAAATAGACAGTGAAGATATGTTCATAAATAACAGGAGGATCCAGAAACAGGGCATATACAGTATGAACAGCAGTGTGTGAGTACTGTATGCGAGCGTGACCTACGTGTATGTAATGAAATCATATGACTGCCCTCACCCACGTGACCCCATGTGACTTGTAGGAGAAGAGAATGAAAAGAGACTATAGGCTGGATTGTTCGAGGGCACAAGGCCATGAAGTGTGTATAAACTAAAGGTGTAAGTCTAACATGTGATTGCAAGGGTATATGAGAAGTACAAAGACAAACCTATGAAAAGGCCCTTTGAGCATGCACGCTTCGTACAAGCCGGTACAAAAAAAGAGACAAAAAACTCACATTTAACAAATTCCAGAAAATTAACATTATTCGAAGCAAAAAAAAAGATTTAAGATGAATTTTGAATGTGTCCAATGTAAATAAAACAAAAAACATGCCCAAAAAAAAATAGGATCAATGTTTCTTTTTCTGCACCTGAACATTTCCCTGAGGTTTAAATCTCACCTTCCTTCTGAGATTCTGAGCCCACAGAAGTGAGGGGATATTATTCTGTCAAGACACAAGAGTGACATCTACTGGAAGAGGAGGGAAGTATCTTTTTATAACAGCAAAACATGAATATTAACCAACAGTTATAAAACACCAGGGAGAAACCATAGAACGAGATCAAACAGACATTCCAGCCTGTCTTTAGTTTACAGCTAAATGCTGTGGAGTGCAAATTAGGATGATGGAGAGTTTCAGCAGACAGCGCTAGTAATAAAGGGATGGTGTCCACTCAGGTGCTCTTTGGGTGCGTTCAGCCTAACACAACTTTTTGGGTACTTTTATTAAAGGTGTAATATTTAAACACGGCATTCAAACTTGACCCATCATTCGCCAACACCACAGCTCCCTGTCTGCTTCTTTTACACCTTCACAAGGACTATTTCTCACCAACCGTAACGGTTTTATCTCACAATGAATGTAGGCCTTCTCTGCAGAACTGTTGTCGGCTAACGTTGGCTAAACAATGTGCAAATGCTAATTTAGTCAATTGACAAACAACGTAACAAGTAGAGATATAAAGGCTATAACGGCCCAGATTTAAAGAGGCATATAAAATATGTATATAGTATATATATAAGTATTAGTCACACCTCCTGACAATAATATGAAACATAATTGAGAGAGCTCCTGCATATAATTAAATAACAGTTTGATAGTAGGTTAGTTATTGATAACAAAGACGCTCTATTACAATCAAATTCATGTAGAATACTATTGGGCTTGGCACCGATGGGAGTTCAGTGATGTAATGACAATCCATCTTTTATAGGTTCCTATGAAATGTTTCCTTTAAGGTAATTTATTTTGTAGAGCTAAAATATAATTGTGTAAACCTTTTATTCTATATATTTATTTATATTATTACAGTGTTGGATTTGTGCGTTGTTGTTGTTTTTTTAATCTATTATCATAGATTTTTGTTGTTATTGATGAATTGTTGGCAGCGCCACAGGGGCAGCGCACATGCACAGCCAGGTCACGCCACGCCCCCTCGTGTTCCCTCTCTCTGCCGCAGCAGCAGTCACATGACCGAGTCTTTGGCTGGCTACTTCCTGTACCACGGCTATTATTCTCTGCGGGAGACAAATAACGGATCTGTAGCGCTTATCCCTGCGACTGTTAATCCAGATACCTGACAGTCAGGACTGAACGGGGAAAAAAAACGGGGAAGACAACCGTTAACCTGTCCGTGCATCGTGTTCACCTGCTATCTAACGGGAGATGCCCACCGGAGGGGCGGGTAGCTAGTTGACAGGATAACACGACTACCCCGCCCGCCCTTTACATTTAGAAAAATACGCAGCGCTTCATCTGCTGGAACAGAGACAGCTGCTCGTTTTTTTGTTCCTCTCCGTGACTCACGTTAGCATTAGCAGCAAGTGGTGGCTAGTTGACGTTAGCTCTCTTTCCCCCAAAACAACCCGCCATCGACATGTCAAAATACACAAGCTTCGCCGAGCCGACGGGGACGGACGACCACAACCCTTTCCAAGTGGGTGAAATGAAATATGAATCTAACATCAGCCTGTGTCCGTGCAGCCCGTCACGGCGTGTTTGATGGAAGTCATCGATGTAGCCAACATCTGTGTAATAGCGGGCGTGTTGTTGCTCATGTGACGTGTGTGGCTTTTTTCTTTTTTCTGGGCCTTCCTGCCCTCCTTAATCTTTGCCCACTTGTGGCTCTTCTTCACGATGAATACATCAGTAGCAGCCACTCGGGTTTGTTAAACGTGGATTACCGTGTCAGCAGACAGTGGAATGTATTACTGTGATCATTTTAACAGCAATGTGTTTGCCTTTGTTTTGTCTGCTAGGACCCTGCAGTGACTCAACACAGCAGCAACACAGGATATGCAACACTGGACCTGTACAACCCTTTTGATAATACTACTGGAGTGAGTACTACTATAACATATTATGGGGATATAGATATATTATAGGGGATATTTATACTTGACATTCAGCATCACACACATTCCCATATATTTCGTTTAATCCAGTCATGTTTGTCTGAAATGCCCCATTTAAGATTTGTTACAAACGTATAAGTATAAAATTAGTTTAATGTTTTTCTACTCGTCAGATGTTTATTATGTTTACAGTTTCTTTCAGCCTGCTCCATGAAATGACTGCAATCTAAGGAAGGTTATCTGTTGTATAAACTAATGAATAAACTCATCCCTTAAAAGAGAATAAGAGCATTTGAAACAAATTGTGATGAAAACATGAATAAGTCAAAGACTGGTCTGTTTAAATGTTTTCCAGATAAATTAACTGACTGCATTTTTGACTGCTAGCCTGCTGATCAGACTGAACTGCCATTTAGTTACACTTCCTTCATTCATTTTATCTGAATTAATGATCAAATCACACATGATGGTGTCAGTTCAGTGATCTGGAGCCAGGCTAGAGAGAGAGTGGGTAATAAAACTGCGCCCTCCTTAATATGTCAGCGGAAATTGTGCTTTAGTGGCGCAAGAGATCAACAGACATGAAATGTGTGTTTGCTGGACACACAGTCAGTTGTTTAGTTATCCAGCCTTACTGAGGACTGGACACAAACGTACTTCATTATTACTACATTAAGACCAAAATATACACATTGCCCTGTGACGTACATCTCACACCTCAGTTGCATGTTTAGTGTTTTTGTTGCTAGGAAACGGCTTGGGTCCTTGGTACTTCCTGTCAGCTTTTGCTATTGGCAAATACGGCATCAACAGGAACTAAACTTGGACGTGGAAACTGAAGGAGTCTAGTTCTAGTTGTAGATCCCTTTAATCTCAGACCGAGTGCATGACCACAAGCCTCATGCCGTAGCTTCTAGAGTGAACGAAGCTCGCACGCATATCTGTAAATGTTATGTCATTACATAAAATTCTCCTTTTGGCATTATCCTTTTCATGCCACATTATTGTAGCTTCAGTATAATGTTTTTATGTGTATGTATGTATGTAAAACAATAAGTTAGTTTCAATGTGGGAAATGGTGCACATACTTTTTTTTCTGGATTTTCTTACAGGATGAGGTCAAACTCATGTATGATGTCTGTTTCCCTCTTTTTTTCACCAGCCTCCTCCTCCGTATGAAGCCACCTCTCCCTCTGCTCCATCTGTGCCTGCACAGACCCCACCCAGTAGAACAACACCCACTGAGCCTCGCAACTATGGCTCCTATACCTCGCAGGTACACGTGCTGCAATGCAGAGACACTTGTTGCATGCTTCACTTTAGACTAGTGATTACCATCTGATTTATAATATCGGCGCATTCAGCTGCAAAAATGGGATTGTACTCGCACACTGTTGGGTCTTTAAAATTAGAAATGTGCGCTAGATGCCAATATCGATATATTCAGATATGTACCTCGAAAGCACGTCCTCTGTGGAGCTCTTATGATAACAGGTCTTTTCTATAATCCTTTTCATTATTTATGACACACACACACAACCCTCTCTTTTAAACTTGACTTGCATTTCTGATACATCCTTTCACTTCGTGTCTTGCTGTGTTAGACTGCGGTGAATGCTACCACAGCAGATCTCTTGAGGAAGCAGGAGGAGCTGGAGAAGAAAGCCCAGGAGCTGGAGAGAAGAGAGAGGGAGCTCGAGTTACACAGCCTGGGACCTGGAGCCTGTAAGAGATGGAGGATAGGAGGCGATATAAATATCTGAGATACCTGAATATTTTATAGATTTAATGATTTCGTAAGACATTGCCGTGAGTGACGTTTCCCCCCCCCCCCCACTCTTTTTTTTTTTTTTTTTATCAGCCCGTCAGAATAACTGGCCCCCGTTGCCTTCATTCTGCCCCGTGGGCCCCTGCTTCTACCAGGACATCAATGTGGAGATCACGCAGCACTTCCAGCGCACCGTCACCTTCATGTACTACTTCTGGATGTGTGAGTTCCTGTCTCTCACTACGTGCTGATGTATGAATTCCCATTATTGTTTTGGCAACATCATTACCATTAAGCACCATTTAAAAAATGGAGGGGAGGGTTATTCAGGTGGATGCAATCTGCAACCTCACCACCAGATGTCACTAACTCGCGCACTCCTGACTCATGTCTCTGGGATTCCTTCTGTACTGTCTGGAGTAAGAGCTGGAATGTTTGCACAAAGACTCTGACACTTTACTGCCAGATTGAGGAACCAACTGAAATCAGGGTCTGCCAAAAATGTGAAGATGGTTCAGAGGTCTTCACCCGGGGAATCTGCTGCACCCAACAACCATTTCAAATTGTTAGAAGTAACTAAGTTGTTCTTATTCAACGACCCAAAGCTTCAGGCGTCAGCATGCACACTGGGGGGGAAAAAAGTTACAGGGGTCTAAAATGTGTCTGTGTCCCATGCATGTTCACATGGATTAAGTCCGGGTTATGGCATGGAATTAACCTTGATACTGATTATGAAAAATGACAGAGAGGGCGAGAAAGTGAGGCAGAAAGTCACCGCATAAGAGAAGGGAGTGGGCGAGCATAAAAAATGAATTAAAATAGAACAAATCTTGAGGCCCGGGCCGAGTGAAATACCAAAAGAGCCAACTCCAAACCTCGCAGCAGGAAAAGGATAAATAGCGTCATGTTGCATCAGCCAAAGTCCTGACAAGTTGGCTCCTACTGTAGAGAGGGGAGGGGAGCATTGGATGTGTGTTCTAGTCCACCGCTCTGTAATACAGCAACAAAGAGTTGATCCCTCCACTCAGATTGCACCGCTATTCATTCTTGTCCAACCGCTCCCGTTCATCCTTTTTGTCTCCTTTTTATCCGATCTCGTCAATGTCCAGTCTGCACTTGTGCGCTGCTCCTCAACCTCGTCTCCTCCCTGGCCATGTTCTGCGTGGACAAATCGGGTGGTGTTGGCCTGGGCCTGGCCATCCTGTGGGCCCTCCTCTTCACCCCCTGCTCCTTCCTCTGCTGGTACCGTCCTGTGTACAAAGCCTTCAGGTGTGTTGCGCCATTTGAAACGTGTTGGCCCGTTTGCTCGCTAGCTGCATAAAGCATACGTGGCATTGAGCTGTTGCTTCATTATGCTCACTTACAATATTTTTCTCTCCCTTGTAGGAGTGACAGCTCCTTCAATTTCTTTGTCTTCTTCTTCGTTTTCTCTGCCCAAGTGGTCGTCTCGGTCATCATGACTATTGGTATCCCTGGATGGGGTTTCAGGTATGACTAATAAACAAAACCACCGCTCAAAACAGATGCATGACTCTATCCAGGTTCTTTCCTCCGTTTATGTCTCCCCTGTCTCTTCCCCGCAGCGGGTGGATCGTGAGCCTGGCTGCTCTGACAACCAGCGTCCCCGTTGGTGCGATCATGATGATGAACGCCGTCCTCTTTACTGCCCAAGCCGCCATGGGGTTCGTCATGCTGAAGAAGGTGAAAACTGAATCATTTTGTTTACGTGCAGGGAAAATATTTACAGGTAGTGACTCGGATTAGGGTTGTGTTTCTGCCATGGTGTCAGTCACACTTTCCCCTGTATCTAACTCAGGAGGTGGCATTTTCATGGAACATGAAATCTGGTTATACACGTCCCTACACACGTGATCATGAACATATCCAGGTTTCTGATCATCTGACGGCAGATGTGTCGGAAATCCCGAACATCTCATCTCAATCGCACACAAAAGGCAGAAAAATAAATATCATTGTTAGTCCATGTAAAGTACTCATTTGAATCCAATTAATAAGGGAAAGGACACGTAGGTCTAAGTCGACTTGAATACGAATGTACACTAATGAATGGTAGACTGTCGGGAGATACTGTGACATGAGTGGGTCACATTTCTGGAAAGAAGTCAAAGGGAAGAAAGTGAACGCAAAATGGTCATACTGTGTTCGCACTTTCCACCTGCTCTGTGCAAATACTCGCACCCGCTGTGCCCACGTGGTCCACCTACCACGAAGCAGTCGGTAGATAACAAACGGTCCGAAGAATAGGCCCCGGTATCGGGTTCTGCGTATCGTATTCACCCTCACAATGTGCATGGTATGAGGATGAATTGCTGCATGTATCGGGTGTCAGCGCGCTCTGCTCTTCCCCTCCTCTAGGTCCACAGCCTGTACAGGCAGACCGATGCCAGCTTTCAGAAGGCCCAGGCCGAGTTCGCCACCGGAGTCATGTCCAATCAGGCCGTACGCCAGGCCGCCACCACCGCAGCCACCACCGCAGCCACCAGCGCTGCCCAGGGGGCATTCACCGCGCCTCGGTAGAGTGGGACGAGAGGGGATGGGGAGGGTAAGATGTGAAGGAGAGCCCATTCCTCTTGATACAGGATCTGTTTGGTATTTATTTCCCCACAGGTTATTAGAATTTGATTGGGGTGGGGTGGGGGGGGGGGATGTGTCTGTATAGTAACCCCTTGAGCAACTGAACATCAGGCCATGTGCATGAGACAAAGGTGGGGTTTTGTAATTTCTATCCATGTACAGGACAAGTTGGCTACATTGCCAAACCGGGAGTCAACAAAATCCTAAATGTTGATTCAGGAAACAGAAAGATGGTGTGAAAACAATAACATGCTGACGCTGTATGAAATTTAGCGCACTCGTTACTGGTATCAGTGAATGCAGGGAAAATGCTACTTTTTTTTTTTTTTTTTTTTTTTTTTTTTTTTAAATAACAAGACGAGCTGTGTGCCAAGTAGGAAAGTTCTGGTCCGGATAGTTCCCATTTTTAAATGACCTGGATGTGTTTACAAAGAGCCAGTGCTTGAGTTGGAGCTGAACACTGAAAATGTTGCCATTCTAACATTCGATCCATAACTGAGTGGCTCAATGCTAATATTTTTGTTGCTTTACTGCAAACTAACACGTTTTGTTATTATCATTCCAAATGAGAGTGGCTTGTTACCTATTTGCCAAAACCTCTCATACTGTAAAGATTATGTGTTTCTGTTACAATATATCTGTCACTGTTCTGTTGGTGCTGCTTGTGGTTCTTATGATTATTACACGTCACTGTCTTGGTTTTAATAAAAAATATATTGTCATGCGTACACGGTTATTATTGCTGTAGCTCATTGTCAAGTTAAGTAACAGGATATGTATTTTGATGTTGTTTTTCATGTTTAAATGAGTCAAACCTCAGCAAGTTCAGTATCCTGTAATGTCGTTAAATTGCATTTTATAACTTGGATTGTGCTGCTCGAAACCAAGTTTGTGTTTTTAAAAAAAAAAAAAAAAAAAAAAAAAGAGGATCCTACTTGAACGTTTTTTATTTTCTGGCGACACCAGGAAACTGCATCCGTGGTCCAACTTGTTGCTTTTTGAGCTCTTGGCTTCTTTTAGCAACTTGATCTTTGAAGCGGTGACCGAAGCAAATCTGATCATGAAGATGCGGGTTAATGTATTTTTTATTTTATTTTTTACCCTGTATAAACTTTATTTATTAAAAATGACATTGTGAGGAGTGATGGTGTTGCCTGCTCTTTAATGGTATTGATGTGCCGCTTTTCTGACATTTGTCACGGGCACCAAACCGTCCGGGACTGCTCTGACCCGTCGGAGACCTTTATGGGCTGCCTCACCGACGTCAGGCACTGGGCGTCACCGTGAAGATGGCGGAGGCTGCGGACACAACACAACACCGGTTTTTCTGTCACTGCTGTAAAAGTGAAACAAACCCCAAACTCCCGGTGAGTCACTTTGGAGCGTGTTTTTATTCAACTCGTACAGCTGGAAATCACCCATGCGGACGTTGAGGGACATCTTAAGATGTTTACAGCTCTTTCTTTTTATAAACTTGTGTGGAGTGATACATTTCACTTTGCTCTCGAATTTAAATTAGTGGGACCACAAAAGCACACGTATGGAAGCCTGCCTGTGGTTGTTTCTTTGCGTAAAGCATGCGCAAGGATCTTACAACAGAGAGAGACATACACAGACAATCTGGTGATTCATGTTGCCATATTTAGAAGCACCACTGTTGGCGACAATCTGTGTCCAGCTGTCTTCTGTCAACTGCGCGTGTGAGACGTAGGCTGGTTGGGTGACGCCACATGCGCCAGCAGCGCTTGCACGGCTTCCTAAAGGTAGATCCAAAAGCCGCAAATGTGCCTTTAACCCCTGCAGCCCGATTTATTATGTCCGCTTATTGTATCAGCAAAGCCCAACTGAAAGATGAGTCGTTAACTTGGAGATTAATTTCTCCTGGTTGCTCGATTCGGAGCGCGCTGTGAGAGACGCTGTTGGTGCGCATTTGTTGTGCAGCTGCCACTTTTAATGGCACGAATACACACGCATGATGGAGCACGTGTGTCTGTGTTTAAGAGAGAGAGAGATTAATCTGCACTAGGCCAACATGTTCACAAGTATGTGGACACCCTAATGCAGATACATTTGTATTCCATTTTTTAAAGCTTATTTCTTTGGCATAGGATAAAAAGGATGACATGTAACAGGCCCCCAGCTAGAATCAAACTGGGGAAATTGCAATAACAGAGTGCCTCACCACTAACCCACATGTCTCATGTTTGTACTTTTGTGTAGCTACATCCTGGTGGGCCAGTGGTTAAGATACCATATCAATTCAATGTAGCTGGTTTGATTCTGACTTGCCACCTTGTTGCAGAAATTGGCTGGCGCTCCTACTGTGGGCAACCTCACTAATGCTCTTGTGGTTGAATAAAAGCAAACTTTTGCAGCCACACTCTACACAATTTCACCATAAAATTACAGTAAAATACTGGCAGCAGAGATGCCAGTAATTTACTGTTATTTTACAGTGCAGCTACTGTAATTTATTTTAACAGTATCTTGTCGTATATTGGATAACAGTAATTGATAGTAAAATAACTGGGCTTTAAGGTAATTCTACAGTATATACAAGCATGTTACTGTTTATTTACAAAGGGTAATAAAATCTGCTACTTTTGCATTTAATTCCCCACAACAATAACAAAAAAGTAGAAAACACAAGAATTCATATACAGTACAATATTGCTGTATATGATTAATTGATATGATTAATTGTCCTCAATCATTCATACCGCTGACTTTGTAAGACAGATAATATTATAGTGACTCACTGAACTTCACAGAAAATACTGTATACTGATAAAATACAGTTATCTGCAGCTATGGTTAACTAACTGTTAATATACATGGTAAGGATGAATATTACCTGTATGTTACAGTCATTGTGAAATACTGTAAGATAATGTTGTAAATCCACCGTACATTTACAGCAATTCATCACAGTGCAGGTCCAAAATCTCATCAAAAGCTTTACTAGAAGAATGTAGGCGGTTATAGCATCAGATTAATCATCATCGTTTTGGATTGAACTCAGAAGTTGGAGTTCCCGCATTCTTTTGGTCTTGTAGTGCATGTTTTTTTTCTTTTCTCTAGGATTTCGTCTGCCCCAGATGTGACTCTGACTTCATTGAGGAGGTGACAGAAGACTCCAGGTACAGCTCCGTTTTGGTGTTTATATTTACTGTGCTTTATATCATACGGTTTATAAAATGTTTTAAAGCATGCTCCTAAGCATTAAAATGCATGATGGTCACTGTAGCGGCAGTGTCAGGCTCTTAAGAGTTATGGTTTTAATTTTACACCACTGATATTAAAACCGATTTATATTTTGCTGCCTAGTCTTCTGCAGAACAGCACATCGGTAGCCAGTGAAGATTCCAACTCGTTCTCAGAGGTGCGTCCCTACATATGGCATTTTAAAACGTACACTCCTCTTTTTCTGAAGCTCTTTTTGACATATTACTTGGTCTCTCTTCCAAGTTATGGCAGTTGCTGTTCATGGAGGGCTCTGCTCTGCTGTCACATCCGCCGTCTTCAGAGTCTGACCCAGATGACAGCGGGCAGGTATCTGCAGGTCAGAGCCGGCCTTCCCCAGTGTCGCCGGGCGCCGCTGAGGCCGGGGAACCAGACTCTCCTCCCCAGCCTGAGCAAGAGAGGTCGCCCAGGCCTGAGCAAAGGCCTGCAGTGGAAGGGTGTGTGGACATGGTACACAGAACCATCACCAGTGTGTACTCTGACTCTGACCGTGCAAAAAATACTTCTTTCTATTTATGTCATGTCATTTGCAGTACAAGGAAATAAAGGCATAAATGAAGAACCACCAACATATACAGCTTAAACACATACAACAGCTGTGTTTTTGCACAGATATTCTTTTATATTTTTGTTGTGAACAGAAACAGCTTTCATAGTACATGTTTATAAGTTTCAACAAGTTTGCATATTCTTTTTTATAATGTAAGCACTTCCTTATGTGATTGATTTGCTTCAAAGTGTGATTGTAGTCGGTAAAGCTTCAGTAAGCTTCCATACCTACGGCTGGATCTCTATGTAAAATCATTACTCTGCATTTGGTGCAGTCATGCAGTATCAGTATCAGACTAATATATATATATATATATATATATATATATATATATTATATTATATATTATATACCAACTCCAAGTAAAATCATGAAGGCCTGGCATGAATTTAAACTGCTGTAAATACAGTAAAGTGTGTGTTTTCAAAGCACAATAAGGCAGACATCTTTGCTGTCTGTTTTTGCCCCTTCAAGGATTGTGCAGCAGTTCTTGGCCGGCCTGTTTGCCAACAACGGAAACCCCGGTGCTGCACCAGCTGCACTGTAAGCGCTTTTTAATTTTCGATTCACATCATTTACTTTTGATTTTATCTAGCGTTGTGTGATGACAACACCCCCTCCCTCTCCTTTGCTCTCTTTCTGTTTGTCTCAGAACCAGCATGCTACAGTTGCACTCAAACCCCGGGGATTATGCGTGGGGTCAGGGAGGTCTGGACTCTGTCATCACGGAGGTCAGTGGCATCAGAGGTGGTGATTTCTAAGCTTTGTGTTTAGTTTTAGTGTGGTTTCCTCCTCCTCCTCCTCCTTCTTTTACTTCCATCTCGATCAACCTTTTATAATGAAACACAAAACCCCCAAATTCTGTTATTATTAAGTTACAAACTGTTCATTTCTTATTCTTTTAACCATTCCATTAGAACTCTGTTGCCTTCGTTTCCCCTCTGCCGCTCATGTCTCCTATGTATCCTTACTTCCTACACCTAGTTGTTAGGACAGTTGGAGTGCACAGGTCCACCCCCTGCTGAAAAGGAGATGATCTCGTCCCTGCCAACAGTTTGTATCTCTCAAGAACAGACAGGTAGCAACTCAGCATGGCATACTGCACACATCTCTTTCCCTCCTCTTATTTTCCTTCTATTTCCTCCTTCCTTCCATCTTTCCGTTTTCCTCTAATCTCTCTTTTCCTGATAGCTTTCCTTCACTCTTTTTCCCCTTGTATGTGCTTTTCTCGTCCTGTCTCTGCTTCCTGTCTCTAAGCTCTCTTTATCTCCTCCTGCTTCTCCTTCCCTCCTCTTATCTTGTCTTCCCATTCCTCCTATTTTCCTCATCCCAGCTTTCTTTCCCCTTCTCCTATTCTTCTATATCTTTTATTTTCCTATCTCTGCTTACTTCTTCTTATCTTTACTTTCCTCTTCAATTTTCCTTTCCTTGCATCCCTTTTTCTTTCCTTTCATCCTCTTATGTTTCCTTTCCTCTTTCTCTTCTAACTTCCTCTTACATTTCTTTTCTCCCTCTCATCCTTCCTTTCCTCCTACTTTACCTTGCCTCCTCTCAATTTTCCTTGCATTCCTCTTTCTTTCCTTTCCTTCTCCTATCTTTTCTTTGCCTCTTCCTATCTTTTGTGTCTTCTATGCATTTTTATTTACCTCTTCACTACTTTCATTCCGTCCTCCTATAATACCTCCATCCTCTCTGTCCTAGTTACGAGTATTAGTAAATCATTAATAAATGTTTTTTGGCCTGGATTCAAACGACTTCTAAAAAGTAGTGAAAGTGGTATGAAAGCCTCTAAATCTTAATTCACACATCAATTAACTGGGTTAGCATAAAATGACAGAGGACTACATTACAAAAGTATCACTGTGTTACACTGTGAAGGCCGAGACATGTCGAAAACGTTACGATGGGTCTTCTGTGTCTGCTTCTCTCTGTATCCGTTTCTCTTGCACACATTCTCATACTTTCTGTTTTTCTTGTTTGTCTCCCTCAGACTGCAGACTGGAGTGTCCAGTTTGTAGGGAGGAGTATTCATCAGGTGAATCTGTCAGGAAGCTACCCTGCCTCCATTACTTCCACAGTGAATGTATAGTGCCTTGGCTGGAGCTGGTAAGGACGAGGGGTGGATGATGGTTCAGGGTTTGAGGGTCTGTTAGATTTGTCATGAATCCAAACTTAACACTAAGGCCACTAACCTAGAACTACCCCCCTCAACCTCAGAATTAATTAATATCCCCTCCTCAAAAAAGTTAATCTCAAAAATATGTAGAGTAATATCACAGTCTGACAAAACATCATCCATACCATCAAGAAAATGGGAATCAGACCTGTCCATCACTCCTGATGCTGATTTCTGGAACCAAATCTGCAATAACATCTACTTCATGACTAAAAATGCCAATTTACAACTAATACAGTATAAAATACTTCACAGAATTCATTACACTGGGCAAAAAATGTTTAAAATGGGATTCACGTCAGATATCTGTCCACATTCCACTCAAAACAGTCCGGATAGCTATGTTCACGCCACCTGGCACTGCACACCAGTTAATCACTTTTGGAAAGAAATAACTGAGTCACTGTCTGTCTTCCTGGGCTGCCTCGTCCCATTATCCCCTTCACTGTGCTTACTAGGAGACATCTCAACAATACATCTGAGTAAAACAAATCGCAAATTACTCCTCGCGGCCCTAACTATCGCCAAGAAAACTATCCTCATGAACTGGAAATCAAGAAATAACACACACATCACACACTGGAGAAACTTAATGATAGAATATATTTCAATGGACAATCTAACCTCGTCCATCATATACAATACAACAGAACACCACTCCACCTGGTCATCCCTCACTATGTTTCTGCAAACGTGACATCAGCCATCCTATTAATATTAAAATTTGTATAGTATATATCTATTTTTTTGTATGTATTTATTGCTATTATTGATTTTTGTTTTGTTGTTTTTCTTGCCTGACAACCAATTGAAACCCACGTACATGCATACATGAACATCCATATGCACACATACTTTGTTTTTTAATTATTATTATTATTATTATTTTTTTTTTTCTCCTTTCATCTCAAAAGGCTCAAGGACATTCTCTCACACACACACACACACACACACACACACACTGACTATGTGATGTTTGCTAGCTTTTATCCCACTGTTCTTGTCATCCTTTTGTTGTTATGTCTATGTATTGTCTAATATTGTCTCTTGTCTTTCAATAAAAAAATATAAAAAAAAAAAAAACATTTGTCATGAAGGTTTGAAGTGTCACACATCCTGAATTGAGGGTTGTGACGACAACACAGAGACAATGTTTTGTTACCAAATGATTTTATGCCTCTGCGCCTGCGAGAGCTATGGCTGAAGTCTTTGTGTTTTCGGGTTGGCCTCCGGTCCATTCTTGTGAATAATTATTTAGTAAATAATTCATATGCTCATTCTGACAATTTCACACAAATGACTAATGGGATAAATTGATGAAGTGATGACATTTTGGATAGACATTAGCGGAGGCATCCGACTGCAAGGTGCGCTTGTAGTCTCATTTTGTACTGGAGATGCTGTTATACCACTTATGTTTTTCTCCCTCCCCCAGCATGATACCTGCCCAGTGTGCCGAAAAAGCCTCGACGGTGTCGACAACAGCCTCCCGCCCACATCAGAACCCCCAGAAGCTCGCTCCATCAGGACAGAGCAGCAGGAGAGGCAGGCGATCTGAGACACGGGCCAAGCAACTCTACCTCACTGTTTCCAAGAGATGCTTCTCACCACAGACCTTTCCCTCCGCACCCACTGCTTTTAAATAAAATACATTTCATGCATCACAGTCATAACTTGCAGCTTCTACTCTTACTTTATTCATCCCTGCTGAGGACGTTTATGTTCTCTTTCCCAACATCGTCACCATTTTTAAGCTACACTACACACAAGAGCGCCGTGCAGTTTGCAGACGAGACGTGGAGGTGATGTGTCCTTCTCGCTGCACTGCCCTCTTTAGTGGTTTTCTGAATGACTGACTTTGATGTCATGAACTAATCACCGCTGAGCTGCCTTTGACAAAGTGATGGGAATTCACAGAGTTATGAAGTAACGCTTTCGTATTAAGGCTCTTAGTAAGATGATTTCTTACTGCTGAATATTTTGTTTTTCCACCCAGTCTGATTCAGCGTTTATATTAAAGCCTCCTGTGATCCCCGCCCTCTGCACCTTCTCCTTAAATACTCTTGAACCTCAATGGAAACATTTACTTGAATATGGAAGAATATGTGAAATACAGTACAATATAGCCTAATCCAATGAAATATAAACTAATAAAAATGACAAGTGCACTATTAAGTTGACAGGAATATAAAATATACACCTCTGTTTCAATACAGTAGAGGAATTGTTGGTTATGGGGCAGAATACAGCTGTGTAGAATATAGTGCTGAAACAGAATTAACCATCACCAATTTTGATTATCGATTGAGTCACTTATTAAGCAAAAATGCAAAACAGCTTCTCAAATGTAAGGATTCCCTGCTTTTCTCTGTCACTGTAAATTGATGATTTTATTTGACTGTTAATCAGACAAAACAAGCAAATTGAAGAAATTATATCACTTTGCACCTTGGGTGACTTGTGATTGGCTTTGTCTTATTTCATCGACTTGTCAATTGGTCTGAGAAAGACATGGACAAATGAATCTTATGACAACAAGCAGTTGCAGCCTTAAAGGAATATAATATGTGACTAATACAGCACAACCTACAGTAGAATATATCGTATTCTACATCTAACAAAAGACAAATGCAACAACAAAGAATAGAATATAGCACTGCAACTATTATTTTTTTAAATTTTGAGCAGTTTATTAATCATTCATCAATTAATCATTTAGTTTATAAACTGGCAAAAAAATACTGACAAATGTCCATCAATGTATCCCAATCCGCAAGTTGGCATGTTCAGTGAACATTTTCTTTGTGACCCATAGTCCAAATAATTTTACAGTGATTAAAGAAAACGAGAGACGCAGCAACTCCTCACATCTGAAAAGACTGAAAAGACTTTTAACATCAATACACGGATCGATTAGCGGACTAATAGCTTCAACAGAAAAGAAGAAATGCCATCCTCATGGAGAAGACTTTATTTATTTATAGGCTGAAGTGCTCCCGGTGCCTCCTCCTGTCTGTGCTGTGTTTATACTGTAACGTTATGTTGACACACGGTGCAGCAGCTGGGACCAGGCACCGCCGGGCTGACAGTTGACTGTTGTTGCATACCAGCAAACACGCCGTTAACCGGCCGAGAACACAGCTGCCCCAGTCACCGACAAATACAGAAAGAATGAAATACAAACATTGTTTTTTTGTCAATGACCGGGGACCGCAGGAACCGACCGACATTTGCTCTCCTCTCCTTTCCTCTGCTCTCCCCTCCGCCCTCCTCGGTCCGTCCTCCTCCTCTCCCTCCCTCCCTCCCTCCCTCCTCTCTGGGACTGAGAATGCCCGTGTTGTACTGACACAGTAGCGATACGGGCTGAGTAGACATGGAGGCCCAATTAACGAGAGAGGCCCGTGCTGACACATCCCGGCCTAGCTAACGGCGTGTCGGGAGTGGATTTTGGAGCATCTCGGGAGATATTACGGATACCAGTTGCTGTAAGGAAAAGGGATTTTAACACCAAGGAAGAAGAAATAGAAGGATATCCATTTCGGGTCTCTGTTGATTCAACGCAGCCGCCATTTTGTTGACAGTTAGTGTTTTTTTAATAACCTACACGGCGCTGCGTCTGTTATTTTATAACCACAGGAATTTCATTCGCCACATTTTGTACGCGTGTGTTTCTGTCGACCTAATTGCGCGTTTGTCTCTGAGCCCACGTCGGAAGGGTTTTTCTGCTTTAGCTGACATGCTAGTGCATCGCTAGCCGTCGTAGCTGAGATGTAGTAACACGAGTGCATACGAGAATGTGACGGAGATGTAAGATTACGTGCATCACTTGCCCGTTGTTGTGTCACATTCACACGGCTTACAGACGGGGTTTGAGAGCTGAAGGTGTTCGCTACTCATTTGCAGAACTGCACACAGTGTAAGTCAAAGCTGTGCCGCGCGACATTTGCCTAAATCGGGCTGCTGATAGATGGCTAGTTAGCTGCTGCCAGTGCCATTGATACACAGCGTAGCACAGGCTGTCTATTATTGGATAGTAGCTACTAGCTTGTGACAAAATACACATAAACCTTTCACAATGCACGGGTTAGATTACTAGTGACCACGCCATGCCTAATCACCGCTTTGTCTGTTATTACATTTTGGAGATACATTTTTCTGGGGTGATGCTTTACATGGTGACACTCAGCTTACACCATCGCAACTTTGTGTTTTGGAGGTGGAAAGGTTAACAATTCATGTTTGTACGCGGTCAAGAGCTGTGTGCAGTGATTTCTGTGTCTGCGTGCAGGACTACTACTTCGTTATAACCTATTTGGCTCATCTGAAAATAGCACCAATATTTGTTACGCAATTGTAGCTTAAATATTTGAGACAACATTCTAATTTCAGGATGTCAGGATATCATTAAAGACAACATTGAAGTAGCCCAAGCCTTGACATTTTGCATGTTTTGTTTTTTTGGCAATTCAGGACTTGAAAGATTAAAATATGTGGCCACCACGTTGATACACACGAAGGGAGGACACAGAGCCAAATAATGTGAACACCGTTTCTGGACAATTACAGAGGTGAGTGAATATATGATTTGATGTATTTACTGATTTATTGCTGCTGTTGTTAGCAATCAGATTGCTCACTGTTCCTGTTATCGGTCCCTTCAGCCGGTGTCAATCTGATGTTTACGTGTCGGAAGCTAAATTTCTTCTTGACTGCATGCACTGCAGTGTGTCACCTGCACGGCTTCAGAAGCTACAGCAGCGCGTATCTAAGGCCGGATTTCCTCTCGATTGAGTCAGTAATTATGAGTGTGGTTAAACGGATGAATTTACTGAGTGAATGCGAGTAAATAAGAGCTGATGGGTCCTTTAGGGGTAGTGTTGACTGTACAGGAAACCGAGAGCAGATATAACGTTTCTTTGGGTTTGTTCAGCCCTCCAACAGCCAGCCACGTTTTTGCATAATATGAAGGAAAGTGTAACTAACTGAAATGTAATACACACATGTTATGCCGTGTGTTTATTTTAAAGCAGTTAAAAACACTAGAGGAACTTCCCCGGGCTGCTACAGACTTGGCATGTTTTCATGGTGCTGCTCTGACACCTGTCATTCATTCCGGACCTGTTTATTGTAGGTTTAAACATTACAGCCGCCTCTTTAGTTTAAGGCCATGGTGGGTTATTGCATCTTCAGTTAGATGATACAAATTAATGGTAGTAGTAAAGGAATGTGGCTGCTTTCCCCCCCTCCCGAAGCACGGTTCTGCAGCTGATACCGATGGAGTAAAAGCCCCTGAAGTGACACAGAGCTCTGAGGGAGGACGCCAGCCCTCATGTGGATGATGTTGGGGGTGGGTTGGTTGGATACTATTGCTATGGCCAAAGGGGAAATCGGCAGTTATGAACAACGTGTGCAAAAAGTGAGGAGGGAGGGAGTAAGGGGAGGAAAGAAATTGGAGGGGGCGCGGGAAGTTGTTTACTACGTCTCTGCCTGCTCTGCCGTTTCTTAGGTTGGTGGCCTGATATTGATTATCGATTCTACTGTTTTAATTTCTGACATTTCTTTGTGTTTTATATGTCCGTCTCCTTTAACTCCTGGCATGACTGATATCTGTCTTTTAAAACCAGTAGCGCTGTCATTCTCAGTATGACTGTGAAACAACGAAATGACTGCAGAGTAGTGTTAACTGCTTTGTAAATACAAAAGCACCTTGATGCTAAACATGAAAGTCATATGCTTTAGGGTTTCGACTTATCAATCACGAATTAGACAGCGATTTGGCCCGGTGTCGGATCATTTACAGGAGAACAAGTAAATGACCTGGCGTAGCTTGTTGGAGGTGAGGGGGATGTTTTGACTTCCCGGGCGGCTTCTCTCAAGACTTGTAGCCTTTTCAAAGAGTTCGGTACTACTTTTTGGCAAAGCTGCTGCCGAGGCGGAAGCAGCTAGTATCAATGTGCGCGCTTAGTATAAAAGAATGAGGAGAACATTTGTCACTCTGTGAGAGAAGGACACGGGGAATAGAGTTTAGGGCGGTGGGCGGGCTGAAATGTGTTTTTGATTAAAGTAGGAACACAGTGACTTTAGTCTTTGTGCTCTTGTTACTGCTTTCTAAGTTTGCGAAATAGAGTAGGAAGAGGACGGAAAAGCTTCAGGAAGACGGCGAAAGAACACGGAAATTGATCGAGTGTTACAGAAAGGAGGGAGGTGTGATTTGAGTGTGGTATGTGTAGCGAGGAGGAGTCTGCCGGTTTCAGGCGAAATAGAGTGAGTAATTGAAGTAAACACAGAAAAGGAGGGCGTGGGAGAACTATTGGCCAAACTCCAAAAATCAGTCTGCGTGAACCTTGTGGTTCAACCAAAAAAAATAATAAATCACTACTACTGTTTTGCAGTCGTAATCCAAAACAAACAGTCTAAGACTCTGTGTAGGGCAGATTTCTTTTTTTCTCTTGCCGCGACACTTCAGTGATGACTTTCCTCAGGCTCCATTAAGTGGCTCCTTTAGTGCTTTCCACTAATGTAGGGCGCAGAGAAACCGCCGGCACGTTGACGCTCCATCACTCACTCTCTGTTGCTGCTGGCGAAGGCTGGGAAAGGCGGCCGGATCCTCTGTCTAGTCCCTCAGGGGCCCAATGTGCTGAGGTCACAGTTCTGAATTGCCTCCAAATGACTTCATCCAGAGAAAGCACCTGCTTGGGGGTGAATCCGCATTAAATCACTCAGTGACCATGGGGAGCGGT